TATTTGGTGAAATCATTTGTCACACAGCCGCTCACAAGAGTCAATAAGTTCGCAATTTCTTACTAAGCATCATAAGGTCATAAACATATTTCATTTATATATATAATATGGAGAGAGAGAGAGAGAGAGAGAGAGAGAGAGAGAGAGAGAGAGAGAGAGAGAGAGATTTTTGGACAGAATAATTTCCTCTTCATTGATTACTAGGAAAAAAACCCATAATATTGCTTTTTACCAGATGATGCAGTCATATCGTTTTTATTTTTAAGATGATTAGTATTACTTTTTAGTTTTTGAAAATTTTATGATAATTAATTATTAATTTTTGAATAACATATATGATTAAATAAATCATTTTAGTAAAAAATTGAGAATATTTTCGTCCAAATCGAAAAAGAGACACCTACAGGTAAAAATGAATATGGAGGCATCATCCTATAAAAATTATCCTTGATTCACGATGGTGAGATTAGTTGTGTTCTACCGATGGGAATGTTGACCATAGTTGTTAACCTTGATGATGCCGTTCCTACGGTGTCTCGGTGATCCAGCGAACTCTGACAGCATTCAATGGCTGTTTTAATTAAGCTGGGAAGGCCCGCCGGAGAACGCAGTGGGTGTGAGCGGCTCAAAAGCATTAGCCTGGTGGAGCTGTTGAGGAGCAAGAAAACGGTGGCCTCTTTAATGCCTCCCATCCTCTCACCTTTCTCGTCGCCTGTAATCTGCTTCTGTTCCATCTCCTCATTAATTCCCTCCATGTTAGCTTAAGTCATTAGCCACCACCACCACCTTCCCTTCACCTTCACCTTGTTAAGAGACTTCTCCCCCCCTCTCTCTCTCTATATATGTATATGTATATATATATCGCTGGGCTATGCCTCGTTCACTTCGGTGCTTGTGTTGTGAGCGAGCGAGGGTTGAAGACGGTAGGGTGACAAGGGGAACATGGAAGTGGTGACGCTGCTGGTGGTGGCAGCATGCATGGCAGTCTACGTGTTGTGGTTTTCGCGGCTGGCGTCGCGTCTCACCGGCCCGCGGGTTTGGCCGGTCGTCGGTAGCCTGCCGGGACTGATTCAGCACTCGGAGCGCATGCACGAGTGGATCGCCGACAATCTCCGCGTCAACGGCGGCACCTATCAGACCTGCATCTGCGCCGTGCCGGGGCTCGCCCGCCGCCAGGGGCTGGTCACCGTGACGTGCGACCCCCGGAATTTGGAGCATGTCCTCAAGACCCGGTTCGACAATTATCCCAAGGGCCCGACCTACCACGCCGTCTTCCTCGACCTCCTCGGCGACGGCATCTTCAACTCCGACGGTGATACCTGGCTGTTCCAGCGCAAGACCGCGGCGCTGGAGTTCACGACCCGCACCCTCCGCCACGCCATGTCGCGATGGGTCTGCCGCTCCATCCACCTCCGCCTCCTTCCCATGCTGCAGGACGCCTCCCTCAAGTCCGGTGTCGTCGACCTCCAGGAGCTCCTCCTCCGCCTCACCTTCGACAACATCTGCGGCCTGGCGTTCGGGAAGGACCCCGAGACGCTCGCCCCCGGCCTCCCGGAGAACGCCTTCGCCGTGGCCTTCGACCGCGCCACCGAGGCCACTCTCAACCGCTTCATCCTCCCGGAGTCCATGTGGCGGTTCAAGAAGTGGCTCCGGGTCGGCATGGAGGCCACGCTCTTCCGCAGCGTCGCGCACGTCGACCGCTACCTCTCCGCCGTCATCAAGACCCGCAAGCTGGAGATCGACGACGGGCAGAACCATGACGACCTCCTCTCCCGCTTCATCAAGAAGGGCACGTACTCCGAGTCTTTCCTGCAGCACGTGGCGCTAAACTTCATCCTCGCCGGCCGAGACACCTCCTCGGTCGCTCTCAGCTGGTTCTTTTGGCTCGTCTCCTCCCATCCCCACGTCGAGCGCCGCATCCTCCTCGAGCTCGCCTCCGTCCTCCACGAATCCCGCGGTCCCGACACAAGCGCATGGCTCGCCTCCCCGTTCACCTTCGAGGAGGTCGATCGCCTCGTCTACCTGAAAGCGGCGCTCTCGGAGACGCTCCGTCTCTACCCGTCCGTACCCGAGGACTCGAAGCACGTCGTGGCCGACGACGTCCTCCCCGACGGCACGTTCGTACCCGCTGGCTCCTCCGTCACGTACTCGATCTACTCGGCCGGGAGGATGAAGTCAGTGTGGGGGAACGACTGCCTGGAATTCCGGCCCGACCGGTGGCTTTCGTCGGACGGGAAGCGGTTCGAGATGCAGGACTCGTTCAGATTCGTGGCCTTCAATGCCGGCCCGCGGATCTGCCTCGGGAAGGACCTCGCCTACCTCCAAATGAAGTCCATCGCCGCCTCCGTGCTGCTGCGACACCGCCTTAACGTCGCCCCGGGCCACCGCGTCGAGCAGAAGATGTCGCTCACCTTGTTCATGAAGCACGGGCTGAAGATGAACGTGCATGACCGCGACATGGATTCCATTGCCAGCGAGGTAAGGAAGACTCGGCAGTCGGCGGCGGCAGTTCCCGCCGAGGTCGTGGCCGCTGGTGCCTGAGCGCCGAGTGCATGCGCCTGCTCGTAGTACAATAAGCAATGGTGGTAAGGTTAACGTTGCACGACCGCGACGCATGGTTTGCGTACACGTAAATTAGATGGTAATCAAGGAAGTCGGTGTCACTATACGACAAATAATATCATATAATATAACATATGTAATGGAATTGTATTATGTCTCATGTTATAGATGGGTTCCTTAAAGTGCAAATCTCCATAATGTACGTAAACAAAGATGGCATGTGACATGAATCAAAACACAAATATGCTATTTCTACAAATACAATGTTGTATATGTAAAAACATCAAAAGGTGCACCACCGAACGAGAAGTACATGTACAACTTCAACATCTATCTCCGACAACGATTAGTATAAAACAAATAAAAGAAACATGTGACGGCAGCATAGTTGTATTAAATACCAAGTATTAATATAAACAAAAAATAGAATTATTAAAAGGTGCTGTGCTTGGTTTAATGTAATTAAAAAATTGTTAATTAAATTAAGCAACAAATTTGAACTATAATAATGAGCTAATAAAAAACATTTGTTATTACTGAGTTAACTCCCCGATGGGTGAATTGGCACGACACGGCGACGAGCGTGCACGAGAATAGAATAAGGCATCAGTAACCAACAGCCCCCGCCTCGCATTAGCATTTAAAAGTCCTTCATTACGTGCGTTAATTAAACACTAACGCCAACCCTCCCCTCTCGTTGCGTCGGGCCGCAACGGTGCTATTGGGACCCGCGCGATGAGGTGACACGTGGAATAAGTGTGATTTGTAAGTGCATTTGTTTTTTAGTTGCCTTCGTTCTTCTTTCTCACACAGTTGCTCACCCGAACCCTTTTCTCTCCTCTCCTCCGTGTCGCTGCCATTCGCCTTCTCCGCTCTTCCTCGCACACACTCTCTCCGCTTAGGTCTTCATCTTTCTTCCTCTTCGTCGTCGCTCGCCTGTGGCATTCTTCCGAACGCTTCGCCCTTATCGATTCTCCAGTCTCTCCGTCTCTTCTTAGGGTTTCTAGGGTTCCTTGATTTCAACCGGGAGATCGAGGTCGGCGAGCGAGACTGAGCGACAAGTGAGTTGACAATCTAGGGCAGGGTTGGTTGGGACGTTGGGCGCCCGCTGGTTCTCTGCCTTGGGAGCTCTTGAGTTGTTTGATCGGGCGGGGATCGGAGGGATTCGGCGGCGTTTTGATCTGCAAATTGCTGGAGGGGCTCTTCTAGTGGTGCTCGGATTTTGGCGGTGAGTTCATTGATAGGAGCATTTGAGATTTCTTGCGGTTCCTTTCTTGAGTTTGTTGGATTGGACGAGTTTTTGGATCTTCGCATGCTACAGGGCTAAGATCGGGGGACGGATAGGTTGTTGTGACTCTGTTGTCGTATAATTGGATCGGTAGATTGAGTTTAAGCACGGTCAGTACTGGTGGATAAGCTGCTTATTGGATGCCATGACTGTTCCTGTTTGTTGCTTGGTCTTTGCTGGATGGCATATTTGCAAGATCAACCTTTTAATCTTGTTCCTGGTTTGTTACTTTGGGTAGTCACTACATTGTAATCTGTCCACTTCAATAGCAAGCATCATATGAATTCAATTTGTACATATTCCTTTATCTGCTCATTATTTGCTTGACCTCTTATGCTACGAGCTTGAGATTTTTGAGGCATTTATGATGAGGAAATAGTAGAAATTTGCTGATGCTTTTGACCATTTGCTTATGTAAAATTATGAACACCGTATATCATGCTGCTTGAAGTTGTATTCATGTATGATGCTCATTTGTGATTACTTCTTGCTGGGTTCAGCATTTCATGATGCTTTCTTATTCAGGTTAATGACGAACCTTCTTGGGGAGGCTTGGTTCTTCAGGTGTCTCTCTTTGGTTGCTAGTGCTGATGGTGAGGTGCTATAACCTGAAGCAAGACTATGAATCTCTTCTCTGGTGGCTAAAGCATTAGCTACCATGGTTTCTAGTATTACATAGCCATTTATTGTCTTTAGAAACCCCAGCCACAATGCCTTCATGGTGGGGGAAATTGTCTTCTAAGGATGTGAAGAAGAACACAAAGGAAAATTTTATTGACACATTACACCGTTTTATTAGTTCAACTGAACAAAAAAGCACTACAAAATCAAGGGGAAGTCGACGGCGAAAAAGTGACACTTCAGAAAAGGCACCCAGATCAAGAACAGAATCACGATCTACATCACCTTCTGCACAAGTGTCCCGGTGTCAGAGTTTCGGAGGCAGGTCAAATTCCCAACCACTTCCTCTACCCGGGCTGTGTTCAGGCATATCATGCAAGCCCTCTGAGGTCATTACATCGAAGTCGATCCTAGAAGAGCGTGGAAAATCACAGCTGCTTTTACCACTTCCAAGACCTAACCACATTTCAAAAAGACCAGATACTGCTGAGCTTGATGGAGGTGTAGCTACCACCTCTATTTCTAGTAATTGCTCTATTGATAGTGACGATGCAGCAGATTCTGAACTTCACAGCCCAGTCAATGACTTTTTAAAAAGCAATAGAGCTGTTACAAGCAACCATAGGTGTGGAACTTGTGATTTGATTTCTGTGTTTCATTTCCATTTTAGCTTGTTGATCTTTCACTTCTAGACCTTTCCCCTTACACACTTTTCTTCTTTGTTCTCTTTGAAGTGCGGGGCGCAAGGACCCATGTCCTGCGACACAATGCAAAACAAGAGAGATGATGAAATCCACAAATTTCTTACTTGGGAACCATATTTTATCTGCACCATCTAAGCAGGGTTTTCAGAACAATTACCAATCAAATATACAAATTCCTCGACATGGTGCTTTTGCAAGTGCACCAGATAGTTCGTTGTCAAGTCCCTCGAGAAGTCCTATGAGAGTTGTGTTCCCTGAGCAGATACCAACATCAGCCATTTGGGCGACAAAGCCGCAACAAGATTTAACTTTTTTTGGATCTGGCCAGTGCTCAAGTCCAGGTTCAGGTCAGACTTCTGGGCATAATTCAATGGGAGGAGACATGCTTGGACAGTTCTGGCAGCATAGTAGAGGTAGTCCAGAGTGCTCTCCAATACCAAGCCCAAGAATGCTGAGTCCTGGTCCTAGTTCTAGGATACATAGCGGAACCGTCTCTCCACTGCATCCACGGGCTGTAGGAACAGCACCAGAGTCACCAACAAGGCGGCATGATGAGGGGAAGAAAGAAAGCCACAGATTGCCACTGCCGCCAAAAAATATATCTATCAGTGCTACTTTTCCTCCACATAATTCAACCACAAATTCTTCAATGTCAGTAGTACGCAGTCCTGGAAGGACAGATAATCCCACAAGTCCTGGATCAAAGTGGAAGAAGGGAAAATTAATTGGACGTGGTACATTTGGACATGTTTATATTGGTTTTAACAGGTATTGTGGGCCTTCTACCCTTCAAAAATTTCATGCTGTTACTTTGATTCTTTCCATGCTGATGGATTTTGAGATGCATGGTTTAGTTTGTTAAAAATTACATTGTTAGTTTAGGAACTTCCTACATGGAATGTTGATCGAGTTTTATTTCATCAACTGACTAGGTAAAGCTGATTTCTGAACCAACATAGGTGTCCAGTCTTCTCTTTAGGCTGAAGAAAGCACTATAACTTGTAGTAAGATCACTTGTTCCTTTCACTTAGTAAGAGGTTTAAAGTGTTCAATGAAATACAAGTCAATTATCATATCTTTCTACAATTTTAGCATGATTATGGCACCATGAATCAGTACATAACCATCCATTATTGACACATGTAAGAAAACATGAGCAAGTTCAGAACTGTTACATGCATGTACAGCATATAAAGACATACTAACTCAATTGACTTTTAACAGTTGCAGCAGCTTGGACCAGTAGAGGCTAAATTACCCAATAAAAAAAAGCGCTAATATTTAGAAGAATGGATGGGTTATATTATCCCTTTAGAGTACATGTCATGACTCTTGATGTTTTTCTTCATATAACCTGAATCTACGAAAATGTTCATGATTACCTCAGCAGAGGTCTCTCTGTTAACTAGTTCTCGGTAAGTTTTGATGACCACACAAGTTGTTCAGTAGGTTACTTGGTGAAGGTGATAGGACCGGGTTGTATGATAATGAAAGTGAGAGAACCTAAGACTTAATTGATGGTGCTTGTAGGTGATTTGCATTTCCTTTGTGAAGGAGCTAAAATGAGCTGTCTAGTAGAAACAAATGGTAATGGGTTTTTTCGGACAATTTATATTTGTTTAAATTGAAACATCCATATCTGATAAAATTTTATCTTGTTTTTATTTCTTTGATCTTCGTATAAGATAGTCATTCTCTATTCTATCTGCTCAAGTTTTTCTTTCTACTGGTTGCTTGTTGATTTTCTACCTTTTCTAGTGAGAGTGGTGAAATGTGTGCAATGAAGGAGGTTACCCTGTTCATGGATGATGCTAAGTCAAAAGAAAGTGCAAAACAGTTGGGGCAAGTGAGTATTTTGTCCTATTAGTTATTCTGGAGGATATGCACTCAATATGACATCATCTTTTCCCTTTATGACAGTATACATTTAGGTGTTTGCTTTCTTGGCAGGAAATATCCCTCTTAAGTCGGCTACAGCATCCAAATATTGTGCAATATTATGGTTGTGAGATGGTATGTCAATTTTCTAGAAATGACACGACCTATGATCTTGGCCTGGATTTCAGTCTTTCTTTATTCATCATCATACATGAATTTTGACATACCTATATTTCTCTCATTCCAAACTGTGCCATGTCAGCCATTTTTTTTATAGGATCGTTATGTTCAGTAAGCTTGATACCAATCAGACATTTGACAGGACTTTTACAGTTTTACTTTTATCTATCACTTTGCATTTTTATCTAGGAGTACACTGTTATTTGTTCATGCATATCCTGTTAAGATACATGCAGGATTAGTGTTTTCTCAAGGTATTCAACAGTTAATTATGGTATTTTCAACTGCTATATGGACCAAGTTACTGCAACTTTCAGAACACTTTTATGAATGCCAGAATTCCATGAGTTGATGTCTAATGGCTAACTAAATGCAGCTGAAGAATCACAGTTAAATTTTTTCTAATGAAAATGGAGGGAAGGTCTGCCAACCTATTTATCAGGTGTTGAATTTTTGAAAGAAAAAAAATTTATTATGTGAAATAAATCAAGATATAGAAGTACAGTGATCAAGAGAAGGTAACCTTAAAAGTAGAACCACTATCAAAGTTAAAACACTAAAATAAATACCAAATCCTATTAAAATCTGTTAAGAACTTTGATTCGTTTCATTTTCAATAAGCAAATTTACATCCCTATCTTACATTTATTGCACAGGTAGTAAGACTAATTGTTCGACACTTTCCATTCAAATACAAGTCATTGAACATAGCACAATACTTCAGAATTTTCTTCCTTTTATCCCAAAGCCATATATGGTTAAGGGCCATGGCAAGCCCAACTCTTTTTAGATTTTTGGATGTAAGGGCCTTTTACCATGCCTTTTTCTGCTGGCTATTGGCATGGTACCTGCTACGTACTGTTGTATAGATAAATGCTTCAATATATAATATACACCTTTGTGTTGGTTTCTTACTGACACTGCAAATACTGGATGTACACCTTCATTGGTGCTGACAGCACCTTAATCTATGCTTTTTGGAGTAGTTCCTTTCCATCTGGTTGGGATGTAAAATGAGAGTTCCTGGGCTGCCAACTGCTGGTCAGCTATTCATAAACTTAAACTGTCTCTTACGATTGGATGGTTTGCATTGAGATAATTAGATCTGATCTGGACAGATAATGTACTAGATGGAACCAAACATTAAAGGATTCCTTAAAGCACACAGATGAAAAGAACTCCCAGTACTTATCAATGGAAGAATTAGTTCATTTCATAGAGATCTAGCAGCCTTACTAATTTCATGGGTTGGTGAGTTGCTGCCAATGATTGAACACCTTATGCAGTTCCCATGGAGGCCTGATGACCCTACATCCATCAGGGGACAATCAAAACAGTGCCATGTTTTATCTGATGCCTATCGTTTTTATTTTTAGTCTGATGCCTATCTTCGTTGTTTTTAATCTCTCTTTGCTGTTCTAATTTCATCTGGAATCTATGTAGCCAATCAAAATCCATGTTTTGTCGGATGCCTATCTTTGTCCTTTTTCATATTTCTCTTTGTTGTTTAAATTTCATCTTGGAAACTGTGGCGACATGGGGATAGGCTGTAGAATTGTAATCTTTTTTCTGAAATATCATCTTTAAGTTATGCAAATGGGGACAAGGCATGTGAGGGAGGGAGGGAGTTCTCCTCCTTTTATTGAAAATCCCATTAAGCATTTAGACTGACAACTGTTGTAACCCCTATATGTGAAACTAATCTGCCCAGCCAATTTAATTATTTTAAAGTCAATTTAATCTGATTTACTCTTTAGAAGTAGCAGTGTTTTATCACTTTGTTTGTTTTAATTTTGTACTTCTTAACAGATTGATGACAAGCTTTATATTTACTTGGAATATGTATCTGGTGGTTCCATACATAAGCTACTTCAAGAGTATGGGCCACTTGGTGAACCAGCAATTAGGAGTTATACACAACAAATTCTTTCAGGTTTAGCATATTTGCATGCAAAGAACACTGTTCACAGGTATGAATAAGTCTTGGTTTATAATTTTTGAATATCTGCGAGTCCATGTTTTGGAAGATGATATCCTGACCGTAGATTTTCTTTCTTATGTTTCCAAACTATCACTCACACTTAGGGACATCAAAGGTGCAAATATATTGGTAGATCCAAATGGCCGGGTCAAGCTGGCAGACTTCGGGATGGCAAAACATGTACTGTTTTAATAATGATATTCCTTTTTTTAATTATATAAGTATATTTCTGATTAGTTGGAAATAAATATCAGGCTTTAAAGTTTTAAATGATGTGATGTTAATCGTGATGTGAGTTGGTTTAAACTCATATTTTGTGGGAAGATTTATAGATTGCATCTTTTAGAGCTCCAGTTCAGTTTTAACTATTTTAATTGGCCTTAGTTGCAGCTAGAAATTAGTCATGTTGGTCCAAATCCAAAAAAGTGATGCCTTGTAGGGAGGAGGGGAGTTTCAGAATGGAACTATTTAATTATTCTTGTTGCTTTTAGCTTTAACAGATATACTGAATTTTATACAGGACTATAGAGGAGAGATGAAACCATGTAATATACATGGTTTACATATAATTGCGAGGTCCTGTTTGGAGTTTGTTAATTTCGGAGTGTAAAACATGCTTGAGTAAAGGACAAGCAACTTCAAACTAGTCGTAAAACATGAAATCAAAATATAGGAGGCAGAAATGACCTGAGCATTATGCTTTTATATTACAAAATTGATTTCAATTACCCATTTCTTCCCACATGTTGAATATGTAATGATATCCTGATTGTCTTTTTGTTATTTTTATGTCATTTGTGATTGCTGTAGTGTCTTTCTCTTTTAAACATCGGACACCTCATCATGGTGCTGTAGGATTGAAACGCTAAACATTGATGCACCGTAGCAAAGTTCTGCATGACAGCAGGCCAAATTGATTTGTGGTCATTTCAGTTTGACAAATTATAGTATGATAGACAATAAATCTTAGTTCTAACATACAATCTTTATGTTGTTTGCACAGTTTTGTGTTATGAGCTTTTTCCAGCATTTCAAGTTTGTTTTGGGCATTGTATGGCCATAGAATAACTCGCTTGAAGAAACTGATGGCATAACTTTATCTTATATAAATTCCACGGTTCATCTTCGACCAGCTATTTCAGCACTTTACCCTGATTTATAGTGTCCTTTGGTTTATTCTTATATATTTATCTGGGAAATGTTAACCATCAATTACAATGTTCTTAATATCCTCTTGATCCTTTGTCTTAGTGTCAATTACATGCCATTACTGCCATGTGACTCCAAGAGTTCTGTATGAAATGTATAGTTTATAAAATACTTGTCTATGACAGATGTATACAACGAGTTCCTTCTGAATTGAACCTGAACTACATGATATGTTCCAAAACATCAAACTGAGTTGATGAGATATAACACTTTAAAAGAACACTTATGGATATTGGTTGCAACATAAGCAAATTTTGTTATTGATTAGCAATTGCATCTGATATAAATTTAAACTGTAATGCACCCTCTGAAACTCAAGCAAATGATAGCATGTGTTTTTTGAATTAACATTTATTAATTCTGTAAGGGATAACTTTCAACTTCTTTGTGTTTCATTGTGCCTGTAAAGCTGCAATTTATTTGTATCTTGAAAAATTTTCCAGTCTCTTTATTCATCAGTTTTTATTAATGAAACTTATCCCTGAAACTCCATAAAGGCACCACAGTAAAGAAAATTTGCTGTTTAAGTACATTTTATAGTGATACTCAAATGTTGTTCCTTTTTCCAGATTACTGGACAATCTTGTCCCTTGTCATTCAAGGGAAGTCCTTACTGGATGGCTCCTGAGGTACTGTTGTTTTATTTTCTCTTCCTCCAAAATTTACATTTTCTATGAAAGTCATTTTACTTCTCTCCTTTTGACTTGTGAATTGTCTGCTTCTAATATGCTTTCTCACTGCAATATGTGCATAGGTCATAAAGAACTCAAATGGCTGCAATCTTGCTGTGGACGTATGGAGCCTAGGGTGCACTGTCTTGGAGATGGTTACATCAAAACCACCTTGGAGCCAATATGAAGGGGTTAGTACTTGATCATTTGGGCCGAGTATAGTGGTACTTCGGTACATAATTTACTGTGATAGCAGCACTTAGCTGCGGGAAAAAAATCACAACATCCATTAGTATTATCATCCTGTTGTTACACTCTCGATCAGTAGTTGTTTTACTAGCATTAGATTTTTCTTGTTGTGCTCTAGATTGCAGCCATGTTCAAGATTGGAAATAGTAAGGAGCTGCCACCGATCCCTGATCATCTTTCTGTTGATGGCAAAGATTTTATAGGAAAATGTCTTCAACGTGATCCATCCAAGCGTCCAACTGCATCTGAACTGTTACAACATCCATTTGTTAACAGTGCAGCCTTGATAGAAAAATCCATCTTTAGTTCCCAACCTGTGCAACAACTGATAGGTGTTTCAAGTGGAGCATGTACCAAGGTATTGACATATCAGCTCTCATATTGTCTGTTATGTTTACTGGTTCTTGCCATGCATATAAATTGCAACTTCTGGGAGATTGCTAATTTTGTAAGCTGTGTTATGGAAATTTATTAGTATTGATTCATTGTTTGCTATATGGTTGTCATACGGTGGAGGAAGAATATTGCCAATTATGACTGAGTTACAATGTATTATTTGTGAAAGAGATGTTTATCTTATTGAAATTTAGTTTGAATTATCAATATGCAGTTAAAAGTCAAAAACTATTCATTAGTTTGTTTAATAACAAGATGGTGGTTTTGCTGCAGTAAAGTGACAGTTTTCTTATCAGAATTTATTGCTATTGACATAATTGTCACCATAGCTTCTCTCTGATTTTGTATTTTGTCATTGTACATGGTGCAATATTTCTCATCTTTGTTAATTTACCATTTGAAGCTTTATAAATTTATATATGGAACTGATGCAATGATCAGCAGCTCCCTTGGACACCTTTCATGTCTTTAAGGCTTAAATGTAACATATTGTAGGACCAATAATTTACAATTTGCCCTTCGTTGATGGTCCCTCTATCAAACTTCAAGTTACTTCTTTGTGTCTTCTAAATTAAAGCCAAAAATGATTTTTTTAAAAAATAAATTAGAGTATCCCAGTTAATACTTATAAAATGTGATGCATTTATGAAATATGTTGCATTATGACCTCATCTACAGCATGTAAAAAATACAGTCCCATTTTAATTTTTAGATTAACCTGTTTATTTTAATTCTTTTTTTTTGAGGGAATCTTATGTGTGTATACAAGTAGTATTCATGTATGCAGTCTTTGGAACAGTTATATTTTCCTACATGTCCTAGCATCTCCTTGCTAAATTTTCACTCGTGTACCAACTCCAATCCAGTTCTCATGTATGCATACGTGCAATACAATAAGTATGATAAAGGCGGGACTTTCTTTGGAGTGTTAACCTCTCCCTTCTAATGTTCTCCATGTGTAGTTCTGGTACTCTTAATGGCTAAAGATAAATCAAATAGATGTTTGTAGACCCTTGTTTAAGAAAATTATCAACCCTCTATGCATCAGTGAATTCATGAATTTCTATCTTACTTCGAATGTTCTCCATGTCGATGTAGGAATGTAGTGGTTCATAAACTTGTTTGCTTGATTACTTGGCATCAATATCAGTGTTAGCCATGAATATATACTTAGGATTTTCATGTAGGACCAACATAGTAGGACTCCCATCTTGATATGCCAAGGCAATCCCGATCTCATTGTTTTAGCCCACATGTAGCGGTTCACTAAATGCTCTTAAGCGAACCATGGGCCAAGATGCCTACTAGCCTATCTCACTTGTATAGAGCAGTACATAGCTAAAGTGGCCTAAAATGGTTACACTTAAGTCATTCTCAGGTCATCATATTTATATCTCTAAGTTCACTTTCCCATTCTGTTTACAGGATGACACACCATATCTCTGTGTGGGAATTCAACTAGCAGTATCATTATAGTGTTACAAATATCTTTTTGGCAGCATAGTTTTAGGGAGCTGATTGAATTATCTAAACTAATAGTTGAGCCTAGGTTTCATGGCTAAATAACAATGAGAAGAATACTTTGGTATAGTGGTTTCTTGCTTCTTTGTCCGCTGGCTAGATCATGTACAACATGATATTTTCTGCTAATATTTTCCTTAAATTATTTAAATTCACTAATTTTAAGGATGATACAACGACTTGCTGATAACTTCTATATCAAAAATCTGTCATTACCATGCTATAGTTGCCTTCCATTTAGGAAGCTTTTGTATACTTCCATTTGTGGGAACCTTGTGCATTGTTGTTCCCCTTTTTTGTGTATACTATCAGCAGTGGCTCAAAAAAAAAGAAAGAGCATATTTAATATTAAAGGAAGTGCACGATTGAACCATGTATGCTTGTCCATGAGCACATGTATTTGTTGTTGCTATTTCTAGTTAAAATTTTTTCTTTGGGTTGGAACACCTGACTCTTCTTTTATTTTATTTGTGGGGTATAGAGAATCTGTCTTTTGCTTTGTTATATCATGGAGCTAAAATATAGTCATTCCATTAATCTTCTAGAACATGATAAATTGATGCATGTTCAATGGTTTTTCTAGATCTACATGTGCTTGTGTTTCACCATTCCAGGTCGTTTTAAATGCCATGCAGTTAAAAATAACTATTGTATTTTTTGTAGCTTCGTTGGTAGCACCATAGTTTTTATGATGTGAGTCTTGGATCTAAGTATGAGATTGCAAGGTTCTCAATGTCTGGATTGTCATAATATTTTTAACTCTTAAACGACAGATTATAGCCATTTGCTTGAGTTTTTAAATTTTGTGAACTATTCTGATCTCTAAAATTTTATGCTCTTGCTTTATCTTGTATATCATTTGTAAGTTTTTCTTTTCATTAAACTTCTATATTTGTGGCTTATGCATAATTTTGTCCAAATTAAGAAGGAGCTTGTCTTAGGTATCATGACATAAACAATGAGAACATATTCTCTTTCTTACTAGTTTTCTGTATTTGTGGGCTTTCATCTGTTGCTCTTCAAAGTTAAAAAATAATGAAACTCTTGTTGTTATGACTAAACCCCAGGGTGTTGGTCATGCAAGAAATCTTTCTTCTTTGGATGTGGAGGGATTGGCATTTCATCGTTTAAGAGGTGGAAAATCTACTATTTTGTCTAGGTAAATTGATCAAAATTCCCCTTTCAGTTTTTATAAAGTTTTTTTAAGCTTACAGAAATAGGTATGCAAGCCAAAATTTTCTGTTGTAAATCAGTAACAAGTTATGTTTGCTGCAAACAAATTGGGTATACATCGAGTTTAAAATTTTAAATCCATTTGAATAATGTTGTAGGGTTTTACTAAGAAAGATTTTTCAATTAGCCTTCTCTAGTCTGATAGATTTTTTATTATGAATAGCTTTAAGTGCAGAAAGCTACATGGAAGAATGGAGCATTCTTTATTACTGACTCTGAAATTTGAACCAATCATAAAACCCCTAAAATTGGATACCAAGATTAGAATATGTACCCACTCACCTATAAAGGATAATTGATGAGCAAACCTCAACTTTTCCCTGGATATGCAATGGTAATTTTCTGAGCTCCATTCAACTGTATGATTAGAATATGTGTTTGATCTCCAATTATTCATGTATTAGCTAAGAAAAACCTGGTCCTAGCTATCTTATTCTTCTAAGAGCCATCGGGTACTAATTGATTAGTGGATGAGTTACTTTTATGGACTTTATCTTACTATGACCATATTGGCCACCCATTTTCCGAGATTCTATAGATTAAATTTTTCCTTGTATCATTTTTTTACAGCATTTCCCATGATTGACTCCCAAAAACTGGAAAATGCTGGTGGTGGTAGAAAAATCGACCACTGCTTCATTGAAATGACTTTAGTGCTTCGCTAAGGACACATTTTTAACTGTTTTGACATGAGCTGATCTCAAAGGTTGCCAGGAAACGACTATGTTTTTTTTTATCATGTGTCATCGTTGAAGATCACACTATTTAATGTTTTCTCTTCTGTAATTAGTAAAGAAAGGACTGTTATCTCAAGTGGTGAGGCCAATTTACAGCTCTTATTGGTGAGGCCAATTTACATCTCTTATTGGCTGAGAAATTTTACTTGTCGATGCGTATGGATGGAGTAGCTAAATCGAGAAACTTAAGATATTCAAATTGTCTAGATTCTTAACTCTTGCTGTGTTATGCATATGGTTTCTTTCGAGGCTAAGGTCATGATCTGAACAATAAAACTTTGTACATCAGTATCATATTTGATATTAGATGAGCAAGAGTGCAAGACTTACAGCTGTTCTCTTGGAAACAGCTAAAGCAGTTGGTGTTCTTTGTGAGAATTTGCAATAAATTTTTTTAAAGATATTATTTTCCACTAAAACAAGGGGTTTTGACTATAACTTTTGTTGTTTACTCTAGTTACTTGTCTTGTGGATTTATACTGTTCTACATCCTCCGTATAGACATGATAATATTCTCTGACTAGTTTGGTCTGAATTCCAGTAATCCTGCAAGGTACATATCTTGCCCTGTCTCTCCCATTGGAAGTCCTCTTCTGAACGCCAGGTCTCCCCGGCACATCAGTGGACGAATGTCCCCGTCTCCCATCTCAAGCCCTATGGCCACCTCAGGTGCATCCACACCTCTGACAGGTGGCAATGGTGCTGTTCCATTCAACCAATTGAAGCAAGTGGCTTATCTTCATGATGGTCACGGAAGTTCATCAAGATCCATGAATGGTTGCTATCCTAGCGGGGCCATCTATCATGAACCCAAGGTGGATCTCTTCCTTGGGATGCAGCACATGTTACCACGTCTTGGTGAAAGAATGACATCTGAAACTGATACTCTCAGCATTCAGGTTGGTAGGGTGGGACATGATAATATGAGAGATCCTTGTGAGAGTCACTGGTTTTTATCTGATCACATGTCATATCAGATATTGAGAGATCAAATGAAGCTTAATCCATCAGTAGATCTTCGTTCTGTTTCTTCAATGCATAGCTGTAGAAATGGTACATAAACTCTTAAATTTGAGCATCATAGTCATGTCGGTCCTTGACCACATTGCAGTTATCTTGTATGTTAAATGCTGAACATCGCAAACTTGCACCCATAAAATCAATATTTTATAAAGTGAAGACACAAGCAAGGGAAGCAAGTTCTCATCGTAAATACTGTCCGACAAGTAACACAATGGTAAGTATCATGGTTTTTCTGATTTGTTCACTATCAAAGCTTGTTGTTGGTAGAAAGAAGGAAGTTTTTTACTGACAATATTGACTTAATTTCAGAATGTATATGCTTATTTAAACTTGCTTTTCCTGATTATGAGATAATATGACCTCTTTACTAATTTGAGCTAATAATTGATTTATTTAACCTTTTGATCAGAGACTTATAACCATGAATTGTCTTTTCTAGTCATATGTGCAAGGGTTCTGCCAGTCAGTGAAAATAATCTTGGTTGATAGGGAATCCATCTTGCAAACAATTGTGTGATTATAAGCAGGTTCTTATCTACTGTGCTTTGGTAGTGTTACAAAGAGGCTCATAAGTATTTGAAATATGCTGCAAGTTTTGTATACTTTTTTATGTCATACTGTTTGACCTTTCATCTCAAATGCATGTGTAACTGATACCCTATATTATTTTATTGCATGAACAAATAAGTAGTACTAGTTTTACATTCCAGTGCTTTTATCAGTGTTGACTACAGATATACTGACTCTGGATATGGCAAGTTGAACATTTGACTGAGGAGAACTAAATATGCAGTTTCTTTGTTTGGAAAAACTTATATGACTTGTGTTCTTTTAATTTTGGCATTGTATTTTAAAACTTTCATATGATTTTATACAATGGATGTGGTCTCTCTATTTCTTTCTTTTTGGTTTTGGATTACTTATTGGTCGGGAAATCCAGTGCCTGTACTTAAATATATTGAATATTCTGTGTTGGAATTCAAATAAATATTACTGTTTCAGCATGGGTGCTTCAATTTTGTAGAAGCATTTAAACTTTTTTTTTCTTGTTGCATGCTATACTGGTTCGTACTTCATAAAAAAAATTGGCTGCTTTATCCGGTAGATTGTTCTGCCGTTGGTCGAGTAGGATTGATGTGATCGTTAAATACTTGATCTATATGGTGTTTTTTTTTTTTTGAAAAACTCATTTTTTTTACTTTATTTATTCTTTTCTAAGTCATATGATTTAGTTTGATCGTGGAGTTCAAGTCTGATTACTAAATTTTTTTCTTCTATGGGCTTATAATTCCACAGCTGTAATCGAGCGAGTTTAAATGTGTGTTGATGAATAGAGACCGGTTGTCAAGTAGCTTAATTGAAGGACACGGGGTAAAAGATACTGAGAGTGCCTCCATTCTTTCCCTCGGAAGTATATGGAATTCTATGATTTTTATTATTGAATGATTTTTAGGAAATGATCTTTAAGCAATGTTCATTCGCTTTCACCATGCTCACCCTCCATAATGTCTTATAATTTATACTTATTTAAATTAATACAAATGTAAATCCTATGTACCAAAAATATATATGAATGTGAGTGACCCTTTCAGTCATCGAGTCCACCACAGGAGCTCTCAAGCAGAATTAGCGTAATACTGGCAACAGTCTAAAGACGTTATCGACAACGAGATTGCTTGGACTCCTGTGTTTCGTACGAAGCCTAAGGAGCTGTTTCCACAACCCCACGCCCAAATCACCGCCTCTCAGGTCATTTTCTTGCCCTCCTCTCGTCTCACGCTCATCCATCGATACCTCTCTGCAACAAGTCACAGTCCACCAAGGACATCCATTATCTCCATCCCAACATAATTATAAAGGCAGTATCCCATCACCATGTGCTTTTAGCACATGTCCCATCATTAGTAGGGGTACCCCACGTGTGGGTTGGTAGCTTCCCAAATCTGGCATTTGTGAAGACACCTCTCGATCACTGTTCGGAATGTGGATAAGTTCTTAGTTCATGTTTGATCCGGTCATCGAGATCGATACTACCACCCTACTTAGCTGCTCATTTGTATTCACCAAACATCCTGTTTGGCCAATGATTGTGCTCCCCATGAGCACTGAGACCAGACATAGGCCCGCACGCGTCATTACTTGGTAGAACACATGTCTCGAGGTATGTAGCTGACGCGGCTGAGCTATACGAGTGGACCGGATCATATGGATCTTAAAAGAAACGTGATACAGGGAAGAAGATGCATTTGTATATTATTATTATTGTTACCGGCTTACCGGATACTGAAGGTGGCTTCCCTGCGAGTTCGCAGCAAATGCGTGTACATATAGTGCTTGGTTCAGCAGCAGCAGCATTAAGAAAGAGATAGAATGCCGATCTCTCGGATCGCCATCGGGACGACGGAGGAGGCGACGCACCCGAGCGCGCTGAAAGCCGCGCTCGCCGAGTTTATATGCACCTTCATCTTTGTCTTCGCCGGCCAAGGCTCCGGCATGGCCTACAGTACGTTCTTCCTCGAATTGTTTGCTTGCGTAATGCGTGTTTGGTCGCTGATGGTCGATGGTGAACAACGAAAGGCAAGATGACGAGCGGTGGGGCGGCGACGCCCACAGGACTGATCATGGCGGCGCTGGCGCACGCCTTCGCCCTGTTCGTGGCGGTGTCGGTGGGGGCGAACATCTCGGGCGGGCACGTAAACCCGGCCGTGACCTTCGGTGCGTTCGTGGGCGGCAACATCACGCTGCTGCGAGGCGTTCTCTACTGGGTGGCGCAGCTGCTCGGCTCCACCGCGGCCTGCCTCCTGCTCCACTTCGCCACCGGCGGGCTGGAGACCGGCACCTTCGGGCTGTCGTCGGGGGTGGGCGTGTGGGAGGCGCTGGTGCTGGAGGCCGTCATGACCTTCGGCCTTGTGTACACCGTCTACGCCACCGCCGTCGACCCCAGGAGGGGTAGCCTCGGCGCCATCGCCCCCATCGCCATCGGCTTCATCGTTGGCGCCAACATCCTGGTGGGCGGCGCCTTCGATGGTGCCTCCATGAACCCGGCCGTGTCCTTCGGTCCCGCGCTCGTCAGCTGGTCGTGGACCCACCAGTGGGTGTACTGGCTGGGCCCGCTCAGCGGTGGCGCCCTCGCCGGCCTCGTCTACGAGATCTTCTTCATCTGCAGCACCCACGAGCAGCTCGCCTCCGCCGACTACTGACGTCCACGTCGTCTTCGTCCGCTGCTTGTCCCACCTTGCTGTCTTTAGCACTGTTTCCGCATAGGTTAATGGTCTTTTAGTCGTCGTCTCGGACGTCGATCCTTCCCTGCGCCCCTCCTCTTCATCTGAATCCATCTGCGTACATTCATGGAGAGCTGTTCCTTCGGCCATATCTTTCGCCATTAATGAAGTCTCTCTAAAATAGATCATCTTCAATATACAGCAATGTTGGTCTCTCTCAAGAAATAAGACAGAGAATGATAGGGGTAAAAACAAATAGGGCGCAACATACCGAATTTGACATAACACCGCCCGCTGTCAGCCTTGACCGGACGGCACACTGCCCTAGCAGACGAACATTAATGTCAGCGTGACGCGCACCCTCGCTAGCCATACCTAGACCACGCACGCCCGGACGAGGCAGGAGAAGGCGTCGACCAAGGCTCGCCATACCCTACGGCGACTCGACTCGACCGTCCACCGATTCTACAAATGCCCTATGAGCCCAGCCGCGCCTCGTCAGTCAAAGGCTTGACGAAGTACAACAGGAGGTCCGTAAGTCCAAGGGAGATCACGGAGTGGACAGACAGCAAGGATCCCCGTTCACCCCCGAGATCCAAGATCAGGCGATCCCGTCACACTTCCGCCTGCCCTCGCTGGACGCATATGACGGCGCCGCTGACCCAGCGGACCACGTGGCCACATTTCGCGCCCAAATGGCGCTATACGGGACCTCCGACGCTTTGATGTGCAGGGCGTTCCCGACAACCCTACGGGGTCTGGCCCGCGCGTGGTACAGCGGTCTGAAGGCTGGGACCATCGCCTCCTTCGACCAACTCGCCAGAGACTTCGAGCTCAGTTTCCTGGCTTACGCTCGACCGAAACCATCCGTAGCATTACTCCTCGGGCTCAACCAGAGGGAGGACGAGCCCCTCTCCCATTTTGTGAACCGCTTTACGACTCAAATTCGCGGACTATCGGACGCTCACCCCTCTCTACTGATGCAGGCATTCATGACAGGCCTGCGGCCTTCCCGGTTCTTCTGGTCTCTCGTGGAGCGACCCCCTGCCGCGGTTCCCGAAATGATTCAGCGTGCTGGCCAATTCATCGCCGCGGAGACATGGATGGCCGGGAAGCGGGAAGAACACAAAAAAGTCAAGACGGAGCTGCCCCAACAGCAGCAGCCCTCCGCCTCCCGTCGCAGGTTGGATAGATCCGACCCCAGGTCTCCTCTCCCCGTCTTGAGTTCTTCGCAGACGGAAATACTTCTCCATGAGAAGGGGAAGGGATTACTCAAGGAGCCCCACCCGATGAGGAGCCCGAGAGAGCTCGCGGACCGCTCGAAATACTACCGTTTCCATCGGCAGCATGGGCACGACACTGAGCAGTGTCGAGAGCTAGAAAGGCAGATCGAGGAGCTCATCCGCCGAGGGCATCTCAACCACTCCCTTCCACCGGTCAAGGAGCCATCACCTCACCCGGAAGGCCCCGTCGAACGACACATCGACGTGATAGCCGGGGGCCCCGCAGCAGGGGGGGCTCCGCGTCGGGCAGAAAGGCGTATGCCCGGGCCGCTCCCGACGAAGCCTCGGGACACGAGCTCGAGCCCGAGATTACCTTCCCGACCGGAGCTGCCGAGCGACCTGACCACGACGACGCCCTGATAATATCGGCCAGGATAGCAAACGCGCAGGTGAGAAGGATCATGGTCGACACGGGAAGCTCGGCTGATATACTTTACTTTGACGCTTTCCAGAAGCTCGGCTTAGCCAAGGAAAGCTTACGCCCAATCGGCTCAGCGCTCACCGGGTTCACGGGAGATTCAATATCACCTTTGGGGGCCATCACTTTGCCTTTAACCCTGGGCGTCCCGCCAAGGTCAAAAACGGTGATGACCACCTTTTTGGTGGTCGACCTTCCTACGGCCTACAATGCCATACTGGGACGGCTGACCCTCAATAAAATCAGAGCCGTTGTCTCGACCTACTATCAAATCAGTAAGTTCCCGACTCACGCTGGGGTCGGAGAAGTCAGCGGAAGCCCCCGAGAGTCCAGGCGGTGCTACCTAACCGTCGTTTCACTACACAAGAGAACCAGGGTCGAGCCACCGCTGGAGGACCCACGGGAGACAAAAAGACCGGCCCCTCATCCAGAGCTAAAGGGGCCCACCATTGATGTACCATTACAAGAAGCCCGACCCGACCAAACGGTCAAGGTGGGTTCGGAGCTACCCGAACAGGAACAAGAACGGCTCGTCGGACTCCTACGGGAAAACGCCGACATCTTCGCCTGGTCCCCGTCTGATATGACGGGCGTCGACCCAAGGGTGGCACAGCACCACCTTAACATCCCACCTGACGCTCGCCCGGTGAAGCAAAGACCCAGACGGCAGGCCCTTGATCGGCAACAGGCTATACGAGAAGAGGTGACCCGTCTCTTAGCAGCAGGCTTCATAGAGGAAGCCAAGTATCCTCAATGGCTGTCCAATGTAGTCCTTGTGAAAAAACACAATGGAAGCTGGAGGATGTGCGTTGACTACACCAGTCTCAACAATGCATGCCCGAAAGATTGCTACCCCCTCCCGAGAATCGACCAGTTGGTCGATGCAACGGCTGGACACGCGCGCCTCTCTTTCATGGACGCCTATTCAGGGTACAACCAGATCAGGATGGCGCCCGAGGACAGCGAACACACGGCCTTCCTCACCGACCAGGGGGTGTACTTCTATAAGGTCATGCCGTTCGGGTTGAAAAACGCCGGGGCCACGTACCAGAGGACGGTGAACAAAATGTTCGCCCATCAGATCGGAAGGAACATGGAAGTATACGTAGACAACATGATCGTGAAAAGCCAAAAGACCGAAGCATATATTGCCGACCTGACCGAGGCGTTCAGCACGCTACGCAAGTTCGGCATGCGGCTCAACCCAACAAAATGCGCCTTCGGTGTCACCTCCGGGAAATTCCTCGGGTTCATTATACATGAAAGGGGAATTGACGCCAACCCGGAGAAAGTCCAAGCGATCATTAACATGCAGTCACCCCGGACGATCAAAGACCTGCAGCGACTGAACGGAAGGATTGTTGCCATATCCCGTTTCCTTGCCCGGTTGGGGGATCACTGCCTCCCCTTCTTCAGGGCGCTCAAGGACCCGAAAAAATTCCGGTGGACAACGGAGTGCGAAGAAGCCTTCAAACAAGTAAAGCAGCGCCTGGCGAACCTCCCCCGGCTCGCCTCTGTTTCTCCCGGCGAGAAGCTGGGTCTCTACTTGGCGGCCTCCCCACACGCGGTCAGCTCTGTCCTGAACAAGGAAAGCTCTGACCAACAACTCCCGATCTACTACGTCAGCCATGTCCTGGGTGGACCCGAGGAGCGTTACCCGCCGATCGAAAAACTCGCGCTCGCTTTGGTGCTCTCGGCTCGAAAGTTGCGCCCCTACTTCCAGGCGCACACGGTGGAGGTCATCACCGACCAACCCCTTCGGTAGGTCTTAACAAAATTTGATGTTTCAGGACGGCTCCTCAAATGGGCGGTGGAGCTGGGCGAACATGACATAAGATACGT